AAGGAGTAGGTAGCTCCATCGTTGGAGTTTAAGGGACAATCAAAAGGGACGAAAGGGACAATTACGATCACTAAAGCAATGGTTGGGAAACCTTAGTAATTACCCTAAAGTTCTAAAGATCTTTCCGAGGCAACATTCGAACGAGACATTTTTGATCTTTCGGGACTAGAGGACAACCACTAAGACTCCCTATACTTCATGACCGTTTACCGAAGGCAACCAAAGTGGGGAAAACCCTAGGAGTGAGCATGTGCAAGTGTTTTTTTTCCAGTTACTTATCTTTGCACATTTAGGGTTTTCTACTGTTTTAAAATTATGATCTTTTGCGTACAATCCTAGTATCAATCATCTAACAATTTATAATAACGGAAAGTAAAATGCGAGAATTTTAAACCTAACTATTACAAGGCTTTGGGGAGGGGGATTAAATAATCAAAAACCGGGGGAAAACAGTAAATGCAAACAATAATAACTTAAGTTAAAAGCTATTACAAACTCGGAGCAATTACATTAATTGGAAAATAATGAAAAAAATGCGCGCAATGAAATAAAAATCAGGAATTAAAATTAAACTCAAAGATATTTAATTTAAAAAAAAATATTTTTTTGGATTTTTTATGGAAAAGATTTAAATTTAACCTAATTTCTAATTGATTTTAATCAATGAAAAAAATAAATTAAAGTTAATGGAAATAATTAATTTGCAAGAATTAATTTTATTAGAAAAAAGAACTAAGTTCTATTTTTGTGATTTTTGATTTGTATGATTTTATGAAGAAAAAAATTGAAATAAAAATAATTAAAACAAATAAAGGATAAAAATAGTAAAATAAAAAGGAATTGGAAACTAGGCCTGAGGGGGTGCAGGCCCAGATTTGAGGTGATGCATTGCTGAATTCTGTTCAGGCCCAAATCAGGTTGGCCCAAGCAGACGTGGAATCCAGTGCGTTTGGATCAGGAGAGTCTATCATGGGGAACATCATCATGGAGCGTCAGATCTGAGCCAGGATGATCCAATGACGATGAATTGGAAGCCTATGGTGAGCGCGCTTGTGATAGTAACATGGAATATGCAAACAATTATTAGGAAAAATAAAATGTAGGAGGCAGGGATCGAACCTCTGACCTCCTACACACGAACGCCCTGAAACCCTTCGCTTGCACAACTGAGCCAACTTACTATTCATTGATATAAACAAACAACAAATAATATATTGAATAATGAGTCAATGTTATAAGAAAAGCGCGCGAGATTCAAACTGTCCAACCACGCCTTGACACACATTCACCTTCTTCAAAGAAACTGTCGTTTTAGACCCAGACCTGTACCTGCGGACATGTCCATTTCTATAAACCTGCAATCCTCAAAAATCATATATAGGCAACATAAATCAAATCCAATTACACAGATCAATTAAGTTTGATCTCCTGAATGCAATGGTATCCATCTTTGGCCCTGATTTTGCCTGAAACGCAAAGCCCTAAAAAGCAACCCTAAACCCTAACAATGGCATTTCATCACACAAACATCAAAACACGTAATTAAATATGCAAACACATTCTAAAGAATGATACAAACATGAATATATACTTATAAATCATTTATCATGCATGAATTGCAAAAATCAATTTCAAGAATATGAGTAAACCGTGGCACTGGTACGTGCGATTTCTGAAGGTGTTGATGTGTGCAAGTGATGTTGTTAGCTTCAGAAGGTTGCTAGGAATGGATTGCTGGCCTTGAAACACCTTGAATCGCCTTGTAGAGCAAAATCTGATTGCCTCTTTCTTTGTCAAAAGTTGAGTTTTCTTCTCTCAATCCACACGGCCAAACCTTGTCCTTTTGATCTGGGAAATATAGTAGAGTGAATTAGGTCAACAAAACTGAACACAATCTTTGAACATTTGTGAAAAAAGATTTGATTTGCATCATGTATTTTTGATTTCTAAATTTGGCCAAATTATGCTATATTTGTTCCAATCATTCCTTGCACGAAAATCTTGAGTTGCCAGCTGCTCATTGACTCATAATATGCTCATTAAATCAAATCTTGGATTTTATTTCATTATTCCATTATTTAAATTGATTTATTTTGATTTAAATGAACAAAAAATCAAAACAAATAATAAAAATAATAAAATAATAAGTGAATAAGCTCAGGGGTCATGGGTCCTCTTAGGAACAAGTTTCAAACAAGAAAACATGGGCCCCTTTGAAAAAAAAAATCAATTTTGATCAATGTTGACTTTATGCACATTTCCAAAAATGGCCAACTTTGACAATGCGTATCTCTTTTAATTTTGACCCTAAGAAGTTGTTCTTGGACTTTTTAGAAAACTTAGGATGTAATCTAAACAACCCTTTTGGTTTCATCTCAATTGGATCTTTCATGTTCATGTTAGGAGCTTTGACCCAAAAGGTATTTTTGTTGACTTTTGAAAAGGACCTATAATGTTTGAATTTATATATTTTCATGAGTGCATTTTTTGAACTTGAGGGATGAAGATGAGTTATAGGGAATTGGATTCTATTCAAAATGAGCATTGGATGAGAAATTTATGATAAAGTATGAGAAAGTTATGCCCATTCAAAGTTTGGTTGACTTTTCCTATATAAACCCTAATTTAGCAACTTTTGATTTTTGATGAATTTAGGGAATTCCTTGAGGAATCATGATCAAACCTTGATCAAATGATGGATGTAACTTCAAAATGTTTATGTTGACCAAAAATCTTGAAGTTTGACTGTATGCGGGTCACAATTGACTTTTGACCTAACACAGTTGATTTACAGGCATCTGAGCAGTTGACTGAGCAAACTTGTAGTGCAAGGCATGAAACTTGGCATGGATGATCTTGAGAACATATTAGGGAAATGGAAATCATTTAGGACCCTTGGAACTCAAACATCTTGACGAGGAGTGAAACCCTAGTTTGAGGCTCATTGTCTTAGGAGGAGGATTTGTCTGGTCAATCCTTAGTCATCTTGAGCAATTGAGAACCTTTAGGAATATGCTTTATAAAAAATGGGAGGGAAAATTTTGGGGTACAATATTTACCAAACCAAGATATGATACAAAACTAAACCTCATACAATATCATGATAGTAATATTGTTCTAAACAAAGCTAATTGCATTAATATAATCAAAAGTAAGATTCTTGTTACATTGAACCATATTGGCATAAAAGTACAAAATGATGTCATTGGACCATAATTATTTGTGTTCAGAGACACCAATACAAAAAGCCTAAGTTACATAAAAAGTTTCCTATAAATCAACATACTCTGTTTTCTGCCAGAGTTTCCCCCATGGTGCATAATACACTGAAAATGACCATCCATGACTTAAACAAGATACCTAATAAGAAATAGCAGTAAGGTTGATGGCTAAACCTAAAAAGTTTACATTTTTAGTAACTCAGAGATCAATATTCGTACCATAGAGTTTCTTCTTCGATTATGAGTTAGATGAATGCAATTCGTCTTCGTATTCTAGTGAAAACACTTCACGTTTTCTCCAACACAATTTGTTTCGTCTTCTATGAAGGTTTCATTTCAGTTGGGTTTCATCTTTTATGAAGGTTTCGTCTCAGCTAGAGTTTCATTTGCGTAGAGAGAATGAAAATGAAATATGAAATAAAACAATTATGTTTCAGTTTCTTTTGTTTTTAAATTTTTAAAATTTAAATCAACGTCTAATAAAATAATTTCATGTAATCTAACCTAGCTTCAGCTAGAGTGCCACACATACATAAGTTAACGAAATTTGATAAATTTTAACCTATAGAAGAATTTGATTAACAAAATGACATTTAAGAAACTTAGAATAAAATTTTATTAAATAAGAAATTAAATTGAAATATGAAATTAAGTTAAGAGATAAATGCATTAAACCTTAATTTTAAAAATAAAATAAAATTTATGTAAATAGTTTAACGAGTTACACCTCCTCTGATCACCTATTATAAGAAAAAAGAAGCTAAATTTATTAAATAATTGATGAATATGATATATATAATAATAATTTAATACATCATTTATTCAATAAATTTAAATTTTTTTCTCTTTATAATAGTGACAAGAGGACATCAATTATTATTCTCTCTTCTCTTAACACAATTTAGTCAACTATAATTTAGTCAATTAAATAATCATGAATATCATATACTAGTTTTTTTTTTTAAAATTAATTATATTTAATAAAACAATTAAATCGTGTGAAATTCAACGAATTAGAATAATATTAAATAAAAAATTGTAAATGAGAATAAGCAATAGTAACAACTAATAGCGTGTCTTTGTTTCCCCAAAACACGAAATTGAAAACTCTGTTTATTCAATTTTCACACACTTTACTCCTTCCCCTTTCTTCATTCATCTCAATCCAAACACAATCTCAGGTTTTTTCATCTTCATCACTTCTTTAATCTTTTATTTTATTATAATTATACATTAATTTTATATTCAATTTCATTTTGTAAACTTTGATTTTGCGTTTTTCTTCTTTTTTATTTGTGTTTTCTTGGTTTTTCGATCAGAATCCACGATCTGATTGTGCGTTGAAAATTCACTTCTTATTAATAAATATTCATTAATTTATGATCAATTTGGAATATGTTAAGAATTTTTCTTGTGAATTTCAATTTTATTGTTAAAATTTGATTATATAATATCATCAATCTACAGGTATTGAATTTTTAGGGTTGGTGTGTGATTTTACTCTTTTAGGGGTTTTGAATTTTGAATTTTGATTTAGGTTTTCTTTATAATCTATGCTTTTCTAATTCCCAATTTTTTTGTTCTCAGTTAGTGCATTGTATTTGTGTTTTTCTTAGTTAATTATGTGGAGAAATTTGTTAGTGGTTAGTCAAATTTGAGAGTGTGAACCGATTTATCTGATCTTTTTTATTACGACTAAGTTCTTGCAATTGTTGTAGATTTCGGGGCTGTGGGTTTTTCGTTTAGGTGGAAGACACGAGAAGTATTTTGGTTTTGGATATGATGAATGGATCACAGAATCAGAATTGGGGTGAAGGTGAAAGTTCCAGTTCAACTTCGCTTAGTAGTCAGCGTGATGTTGAGGATGATCGGATGATTGCTCTTGTGTTATCGGAAGAGTATGCCAAATTAGATGGGGCAGTTGGTCGGCGTCTTTCCAACTTGGAACCTGTTCCTGTAAGAATCCCCCTGCTTTTTCTGTTATGCTTCACAGTTTAACAATAAACTTTTGATCTGTTATCATGATTTATAGAGTTTCTCATCTATGTCAAATGCATTCTTGTGAGATTAAAATAACGCATAAACTTGATACTTACCTGCTACAACCATGATAGATAGAAAGATCGCCAAGGACACTCAGAGTAACACCCCCATTAAATGTAACAACTAACGGCAGTGCCTTACAATCAAAATATTTTCTCTGTTCTTCATTCACATTCTTCACGGCATGATTTAAAATGGTAGTTAAGTTTCAATCAAGGACCATTGATTATAAGTTTTTATGTGATGTATCCACACTTTTAGTCTGAATGATCTTGCATGAGGAAGCATATTAATTACTAGTTGTTTATGTACTTTAACCCTTCAACTTAAGCCTTTTTAGAGGGTTGTCTGGAATTTTGAATACTTGTATTTTTCTTATTTTATTCGGATTCCATTTTCTTGAAATTTCAGCATGTGCCCCGCATAAATTCCTTCTTCCCTACCATGAACGATGCAAGTATGGATCACCAGCGTCTGCTGCAGAGGTATGCCATTTTGTTATGTAAATTCTACTACTTGTGAGGAACATTCTAAACCTTGAGGTTACCCGTTATGTAAAATAGAACAAAATTGGTCGAGTAAAATTTTTTTTCTTCCAGTTTTTCTTTAGTTTAAAGTAAGTAGAAATAGCATATATGACTAGGTTATTCATATACAAATGACTTGAGGACAGACACATTATTCCTTCTAGTGTAGAAAAGAGTTTTCCTCATTACTGAGTAGATATAGTGGCTCTTTATGGGGTTACAATAAGTACTTGGTTATTTAATGAGGTAGTAGGTACGTGTTCCAAAACATCTTAACAAACAACTCAAAATTAGAGTTTTTTGAGGCACCTAGATTTTTTACGAGGATAAGCTCAAGTAGTAAAAATGTCATACCTACTTTTGCTGTGGATTTGCTCTCTATTGGAATATTAACTCATTTTATTTTCACTCTTTTAGGTTGAATGTTTATGGTCTTTGTGAAGTTAAAGTATCTGGAGATGGAAATTGTCAGGTGTGATATTATTGCAATTGTGTACAAGTTATGAGCTATATCCTAATATCGTTTTAACTTTTACTGATAATTCTACCTCTGTCACAGTTCCGTGCACTTTCAGATCAGCTGTACAGGTCACCTGAACACCACAAGCATGTTCGTAAAGATATTGTAAAACAGGTAAGTTGTGCTTGTCTTGGTCATGTGGAATGGATAGTGTCAGGCTACGAATACACCTGATTTTATCGGCTTGTGATTATTTATCTTGGTTAAATTCAAATTTTCTAATTTATGTAATTAATGAGTGAGTATACATCTTAAAGAGAAGAAGGGAGATAAAAATGAGTTCTTTGTTCTTTTATAGTACCTAAAATAGCTCACAATTGTCGATTCATTCGGGATGCATGCCTGGTTAAATATTGAAAATAGTGATTGTTTGAGATATGCTTATTTGAACAGTGTTTCTCTTTGCCAGCTCAAAGATCACCATTCCTTATATGAATGCTATGTCCCAATGAAGTACAAACGATATTACAAGAAAATGGCTAAGTATGTACTTTCAAATAGTCCATCACTTAAACAATCATATATTAAATAACACATCACATTTTTTCGATGCTTTTAGTAGCATTTTTATCAAATATTCACCTTCTTTCTTCTACCTTGTGCAGATCTGGAGAATGGGGGGATCATATTACCTTACAGGCAGCTTCTGATAAGGTTCGGTAGGCTTTTTTGAATCAGATTTTTTTTGTAGAATTCTACCAATAGTTATCTATTCAATTCAGATTTTTCGTTTTTAAAATATGATTAGAGAGTTCAATTTGATTTGTTTTACTTGTGGAAATATCTTACTAAGGTTTTATTATGTTTATTATATTGCGTCACTGCGATGTCATTTGTTGTGTATTACTGTCAAATATCTCACATAACTTTGTTATTTTTAATGTAGTTTGCAGCTAAGATATGCCTTCTGACATCATTCAGGGATACTTGTTTCATCGAAATTATGCCATTGTACCAAGCACCACAGCGCGGTAAGACCTCATCGTTGTTGTATGAAAAAGATGTACCACAATTCCTTTTTGAAGTTATCTTGTTTCAAGGAACACATGTTCCATATTCTGTCAAATTACCATTGCATTCCTCGAAAAGATACTGATTTATTTCCTGAATGATGCAGAAGTGTGGTTGAGCTTCTGGTCTGAGGTTCATTACAATTCACTTTATGAAAATCGAGGTTCGTACACCACTAAACATGAACCTCCATTAGAGTTTAAAATGAATTACTTTTGAGGTATTTAGCATAATCCTATTATTAGTTACTGATTTATTATCTTGTGTTTGTTTTAGCTGCACCAATCCAGCATAAACCAAGGAGAAAACATTGGTTGTTCTAGAAGAGGTAGTAGATCATGTCATATAAAATGAAGTGCTGTGCATAGCACATCGCATGGTGCATATAATATATTAAAAAAAATAGTATTCCATTATGAACACAGACAGGGCATACATTATTCAGTGAAGATAAACTGCCAATATTGAAACTTGGAAAAAAATTGAAAAGTATATTTTCCAAAGGTATCAAATATGAAGTAGGTTGTGGATATAGGAGTGAAGTGGAGAGAGAAAAATCACCTTTTTTTTCCTATTTAATTTTATTTACAGTATACTGTGATTTTTTTTTTGTTTTTAATTTTGTTTTTGTTTTTAATTTTGTTTTAATCATGCTTATCTTATATTGGGGGAGAGTAGCTCAGTATGATTTGTATATAATTTTTTAATCAAAATCTAGCTTTGTGAAGCAAATCATATATTGATTTTTTTATCCCTTAAATGTGTAGCTACATGTATCTTAGTTTACTAGATTATAAATTGTTCTGGATTGGGCCTGCCCGTGGCTCAATCACCAGTGAGGTCCAATTCAAGATTTCCAACATATCGTGCTGAGCAGTGTATTCTCCGAGCACACCCGATCATGGGTGACTGGTCGAATAAGACCGCGTTCGTCGGTGCCCGTGAAGAGCGTTTTTGACCAGGAACGTCCTAGACGAGGAACATTTCAATCCACGTAGGGCAGACTTTCAACCTCTCCGCATGTCTCAGAGTCCCGGGAAGATCGCGTCTTTACCCTCCCTATTCTGTAGGGAGCATCATCCAGGTAGGGGACCACGTACAGGTCCCCACTACTCACGTAGAACCTGACAGTCTCTTTGATGGGTCTGTTTGGTCAGCCCAATAAAGGGATCTTGGCCCAACGCTGGAGGCTATAAATACCCTATATTTCAAGAGGGTCAGATATTCATTTCATTCACACCTATATACTTACTTGCCTGCTCATTCTGTCTCTCACTTTGTCATCAGAGTGTCTTGCAGGTACCCTCCATCTCCTTCGAATGCCATTCAAAGCCAGCTGTGACGGTCCAACTCTGATACGATTAGTGGCATCGACTGTGGGAATCTAAGCTTCCTCGTCTTATTCACTTAAAAAGACCAAAGCTAAAACCATCCTCGACTGTCATGGCTGACCAAACTCAGGACAATCAGAACGTCCGCGTCATCGAAGCTAACAACAACATCACCGACAATAATGCTGGCCCCGACAACGTCGACATCACCGACCATAACACGGTCCTCGACGGCATCATCCCCGAGCCTTCTAACTACCGAGACGGAGTCACGGCCTTGTCTTCATCAATCCCTCCTCGACTTGAAGAAGATCACCTAGTTCCTCTAAACTATCCAGCCGTCCAATTCCACGAGGTTCCTGTCCCCGCTGGGGCAGACGCCACGACCAGGGCACTGTTCGCGGCGATTAACCAGACCAACTATCTCATCTTTGTCGAGGAGGAAAGATTGAGAGCACTTGAAGACGACTGAAGGCCCCCTAGAAGACACAAGAGGCCTCAATCCCCTCCTCGACGGACGGAGGAACGTACCCGATCTTTCCCGCGGAGACAGGATCGGGACATCTCTCGAAGCCCGTCGTCTCGACCAATCGGGCGACGACCCCCCTTGGAGAAAATAATTCATCGAAACCGAAAGGCGCGACCATGACCCTTCACGGCAAGAACGAAGACCTCCCGGGGACAGACACAGAGGAATCTATCAACAGTCACATTGCTCGAGGAACGTCTTGCACGATCAGGGCCATCGTGACCGATAATACATCAGATCCCTGTCCCGCTCCCTGGAACAGAGTGATGAGGACGACCCCCGCGGTCCCTTGTCACAAGCTATCATGGAGGCGCCCATTCCCCCGGGCATGGAGAAGCCTCCCCACTTAAAAGAATATGACGGCGTCGCTGACCCGGTCGACCACATAGACGGGTTCGATGCCATGCTGCACTACCACAACGTCAGGGGACCAATCAAATGCCGGTTGTTCCCCACGACCCTGAGGAAAGCAGCTATGGACTGGTACAAAGGTCTCGCCCCGGGGTCAATTACCTTGTGGCGAAACTTAAAAGAACTAATTCATCAGCTTGTTCACTGCGTCGCGACGACATCCGAAGACCGAAGCGGCGCTCGAGACCATCGTCCAGAAGCACGATGAGACCTTAGGGAATTCATTAACCGCTTCAACCGGAAAGCCATCCAGGTCCCTTGCACGGACCATATGAAGAGATACCTGCTGGAGAGGGGGCTCCTCCCCGGCACCGAATTCAGGAAAGCCGTGGGCATCGAACCACCCCGAACGTTCGACGCCCTCCTCGAGAAGGCCAGAGCCTACATGGACTACGAGGAGAGGGAAGCGGCCAACAAAGCCCGAGACTCTAGGAATCGCGGATCCAGCAGTAATCCGCGATAAGATATCGCCCCTCCTCGACGAACCGGGGAAAAAAGAAAGGACGATAAACCCCGGGACGCCCGGGAGCAGAGGGGGCCCTCAGGACGGTTCACAGAATACACTTCGCTCACGGCTTCCCGCGAGCGCATCTTAGCGGAGTGTGCGAGTACAGACTTTAAAGATGGCAGCGTCAAACGTCCCCGACCAGCTCCTGCCAAACCCGGGGTGGACCAGAGCAAATACTGTCAGTATCACCGGAGCCACGGGCATCTGACCGAAGACTACGTCCATCTCAAGGACGCCATCGAGACCCACATAAAAGGGGGAGACTCGCGCAGTATTGGCGAAACGACGCTCCTCATCGTGACGCCCGCAAGACGAGGGAAGCAGAAGAGGATGCCCGACCATCTGACGAGTCGGTTCCCATCCAAACCGCGTTCTCTGTCACAAGACCCGAGGACTTCTACGTCCCCGATCACATGCAAGAACCGCTGTCGACGCACAACAGGTGGAAACACTTCCCCTCCGCCATGGTCATCAATGGTGGAGGGTTCAACGATCTGACCATAAATTCAGCCAAGAGGAAGCTGGACGAATTGGTCGACACGACCCCCCGCTCAAACGGTGACCTTTGAAAAAGTGAGGGGCAGGTCGGAGCCAATCACTTTCTATCTCGAGGAGCTCCCCGGAGGGGCCCCCAATTCGGTCATCCCTATGCTGATAAGAGCGAGAATGATCAACTTTGACGTACATCGCGCCCTTGTCGACGAAGGAAGTTCCATCGACGTGATGTACATCCAACTGTTCCGAACCCTGCAGCTCGATGACTCTTACCTGTCGCCTTACGTGGGGTCGGACCTGCAGGGCTTTAACGGCTCAACTTCCAAGCCTTGGGGATACGTCGAGCTCATGGTCACATTCGGCGAGGATACGACAACGAGATAAGTCAAGGTGCGCTTCCTCGTCATTGATTGCCATTTCCTCTACAACTGCATTCTGGGAAGGCCGACACTGGCCGTGCTGACCGCAGTACCCTCCACCGTTCATCTAAAAATGAAGTTTTACACCAAGAGGGAACGAGTCGCCACCATCCAAGGGGACCTAGCAGCTGCCCGAAGGTGTTTTAACGCGGCATCCAAGGGACGCGATACGGTCGACACCAGCACAAGGCCCGCCAAAAGAGCTGCAATAACACGACCAGAACCTCAGGGTCAGAGCCCGTCAAAGCGGAAGAGCAGAGAGCCCCTCCAGAGGTCGACTCAATATCCCTGGACACCCGTTTCGACTGGGATGAGCCTCCCAGCGGCGAGCAAGTCCCCCTTCGACCAATTCTGGACGGGGACTTCGAACTCGTCCCCCTCGGCGAAGACCTAAGCAGAGGAGTGAAGATTGGCATCATGAAATTACAAACATTTTCGGAACTAGTAAGGTCACTAGGACATGAAAGATCTTCTCTCCGGATATCTCTCATCCAACAACTACTACAACACCTGTTCGTATTCCTGTTGTTGGGCCAATTGCTGACGTCCGAGGTAAAGAGAAAGTATCTGAGCCTTCCCAGATGGAGGCGCCATCCAAAGTTGTTACAATTGAGGACCCATCTAGACAAGAGATGGAAGAAATTCTGAAGATCATCCGGAAAAGCGACTACAAAATAGTTGAGCCACTGGGGTAGACACCCTAAAAAATATGCATGTTGTCCTTATTATAATGCTCTGAAGCACATGCCCAAGCTATGTTGAAATTCCTGAAGAATGCCCACATACCACAAGAAACTACTGCTGATCAATTTGAGAATTGTGTAGCAAGCCTAACCGCTGACAATGGTTTAGGATTTTCTGATGCAAATTTAACTCCGAAGGGGAAGAATCATAACAAAGCTCTGCATATCTCTATTGAATGCAAAGGCACTACTTTGGTGCACGTGTTAGTAGATCCTGGGTCCTCCCTAAATGTTTTACCCAAAGGTGCTTTGGATAGACTGGACTGTGAAGGATTGGTGCTGAAACCCAACGATATTGTGGTAAGAGCCTTCGATGGGTCAAATAGGATAGTCCATGGAGAGGTTGATGTCTCGATCAAGGTGGGATCTCAAGTCTTCAATTCAACATTTTATGTAATGGATATCTGCCCGACCTATTCACGCTTTCTCGGATGCCAATGGATTCATGAGACAGGTGCAATCACCTATACATTGCATCAAAAGATGAAATACCCAGTGAAATGATAGATTGTCACAGACTGTAGAGAGGAAGAATATATGGTCAGTCATTTGAATTCTTTCAAATATGTTGACCAGCATTCCAAGCCGATCGACCAACGTTCAACCTTCCTAGATCACGTAAGTTCTTCATCTTTTCATTGTTTTGTGTTGGATTTGTCTTTGTTTTCACTTAGAGATGCATGCGATTAAGATGAATCTGGGTAGAACGAGCGTCTTTCTAGAGAGTGCTAGTGTTTGATGGTGGTTCTTCCGCTTTTGAATGTCAGTGCCGATGAGGGTGCGTAGGAGACTTAGGGTTTCCTGTAATTTTTGGTCGTTTGAGCTTCATATTCATGGTGGCGAGTGGATTCATCACCGTTGGAGCTCATGAGTTTTCCGATGGACTC